CAATATTACAAATACGTCTCCTGTCTCTGTGAGCAGTAGCTCCGGGAAGACATCTCACAAGACCACCATTGTCCATCTCCACACCTCTTATAATGGAATCCCCCCAAAACAACTGCTTTCTATTAGGCCTCGCCATAGTCTCCAAGCCTGTCTCCACAACACCACTACCCTCAGTACCTGAGCCTGTCTCCATAACACCATTAGCCTCAGTGCCTGAGACTGTCTCCATAACACCACTAGCCTCAGTGCCTGAGACTGTCTCCATAACACCACTAGCCTCAGTGCCTGAGACTGTCTCCATAACACCACTAGCCTCAGTGCCTGAGACTGTCTCCATAACACCACTAGCCTCAGTGCCTGAGCCTGTCTCCATAACACCACTAGCCTCAGTGCCTGAGACTGTCTCCACAACACCACTACCCTCAGTGCCTCTCTCCACAACACCACTAGCCTCAGTGCCTCTCTCCACAACACCATTACACTCTGAAAGTGCAGAAAATTAATTATGTAGAGCAACAGACTGTGCAATATGCCTTTTATCCACAACTCTAAGTCTACCAGATCCTACAGTAATCCATCTGCCATTCCTAGTATGTGTCTGCAGCAGTGGCTTTGCAGCAGTTCCATCCTGAGTTTACCAGATAATTTACAAATCTCAGACTTCAAAAACACAATCTCCTGCCGCAAGGTAGAGAACTGTCTACAGATTAGACAACAACCAAACCTCCAAAAAGTGGAACATGAGTACATTTCATACTTTTATCCTTCTATTATAGCAAGATACAGTGAGCACTATATTTTATTCTTTTTACTTTTGGAACCACACCGCTGTTAGACTACTGCATTACTACATACATTCCTCAACTGGTTACACTCCATATATCCTTGAGTGGGGATTACTCCACTTCACGCATTCCATACCAGAGCTGGATTTTAGCTCTGGAAATTGTGAGTAGTACCTTATTACTATTATTCCAATATCCAAGTTTATCTACCTACTGCACCATTGGATTTCCATCTTTCTGTTTCTTTCCCATATGTTCTACTGAATTACAAGCCTACACCCATGACTAATTACCAAATTTCCATGTGCATTTGAACAAAAATGGAGGCTCTTTAGTTCTATTCTAAATGGCCATTTGAATATGTAAGCTCACCAGCCACGTCAAGGCAAGCCTCAATAGGTGAGTTCCTACACTAGCCATTAGATACGCTGATATCAGCCAAGAGTCTCCAATAAGACAGGAAGGGGTATTTTATAAACCCTTTCACATTTAACCCTTTATAGGGCTTCTGCACATACAATATTCAAATGGCCATTTAGAATAGAACTAAAGAGCCTCCATTTTTGTTCAAATACACATGGGGATCTAGGCCAGAGCGCAGGTAACGTTTTTCTTTGTTTTTACTATGTATTTTAAGCTGTTGGATACTAAGCCACTGCTGCTGTAAGCGCGGTGCTTTATCTTTGTGTCTGTATATGAATTTTGTATCACTCAGCTATGTTACATTGCTGCCAGCCTTCCCACGTTTGTCTTATTAAGACTTTATAAATATGTAGGGGCAGCACCCCTTCCTGTCTCATCAGAGAAATTTGCCTTTTAGCTGATACCAGCAAGGTGATTTGTATGTTATAGCCCTATTTAGGGTAAAGTATGTAGGGGTTTCTAAAACACCCTTTCATGTCTCATTAGAGACGTTTATACTTTGTCTGATACCAGCAAAGTTTATTGAATGTGTAGAAGCCCTATAAAGGGTTAAATGTTAAAGGGTTTATAAAACACCCCTTTCTGTCTCACTTTGTCTGATATCAGCAAAGTGTATTGTATGTGCAGAAGCCCTATAAAGGGTTAAATGTGAAAGGGTTTATAAAATACCCCTTCCTGTCTTATTGGAGACTCTTGGCTGATATCAGCGTATCTAATGGCTAGTGTAGGAACTCACCTATTGAGGCATGCCTTGACGTGGCTGGTGAGCTTACATATTCAAATGGCCATTGGAATAAAACTAAAGAGCCTCCATTTTTGTTCAAATGCACATGGGGATCTAGGCCAGAGCGCAGGTAACGTTTTTCTTTGTTTTTACTATGTATTTTAAGCTGTTGGATACTAAGCCACTGCTGCTGTAAGCGCGGTGCTTTATCTTTGTGTCTGTAATTACCAAATTTGCTGCTCTACAAGAATTTTCCCTACTACTGTGGATTATACTACATTGGACTAGTGTTAAGTCATTTGGACAATATCTTATTATCCACCTGTCTATATTATCTATATTATTATTTGTAAGGCGCACCTTTTTCCTTTTGTTTTGTTTTTACTTATTTATAGGGGACTAGAGGGAACCCTTTTCTTAGGTGTGCTGCCTGTTCCATATACACACAATTAGTTAATTATTTCTTGTGATCCTATTCTGACCCTTCTAGATCACCCGTAATATCTACTGGCCCATCAGGAAAAACATCACCAATAATATCTACTGACCCATCAGGTGAATCGTCTATAATATCTACTGACCCATCAGGCGGATCACCCGTGATATCTACTGACCCATCAGGCAGATCTTCCATAATATCTAATGACCCATAAGGCGGATCACCCATAATATCTACTCACCTATCAGGTGAATCATCCATAAATACTACTGACCCATCAGACGCATCACCATAATATCTACTGACCCATCAGGCGGATCACCTGTAATATCTACTCACCCATCAGGTGAATCATCATAATATCTACTGACCCATCAAGGAAAAATCACCAATAATATCTACTGACCCATCAGGCGGATCACCTGTAATATCTACTGATCCATCAGGCGGAGCACCCGTAATATCTACTGACCCATCAGGTGAATTGTCCATAATATCTACTGACCCATAAGGCACATCACCAATAAAATCTACTGACCCATCTGGTGAATCGTCTATAATATCTACTGACTCATCAGGCACATCACCAATAAAATCTACTGACCCATCAGGGAAAACATCACCAATAATATCTACTGACCCATCAGGTGACTCTTCCATAATATCTACTGACCCATCAGGCGGATCTTCCATAATATCTACTGACCCATCAGGCGGATCACCCATAATATCTACTGACCCATCAGGTGAATTGTCCATAATATCTACTGACCCATAAGGCACATCACCAATAAAATCTACTGACCCATCAGGGAAAACATCACCAATAATATCTACTGACCCATCAGGTGACTCTTCCATAATATCTACTGACCCATCAGGCGGATCTTCCATAATATCTACTGACCCATCAGGCGGATCACCCATAATATCTACTGACCCATCAGGTGAATTGTCCATAATATCTACTGACCCATAAGGCACATCACCAATAAAATCTACTGACCCATC